TCTCTCTCTCTCTCTCTCTCTCTCTCTCTCTCTCTAAAGTGAATAGGCTATTTTATTATTATAAAATTATATAAATGATATTCAATTATGAATTATAACATCTTTAATCCAATCAATAAAATGTGAAACTCTGGCAAAACCGTCGGGAATGTTAGGAGTGGCCGAATGTGCCGAACAAAACGATAGGACTCCCAACTCATACCACTTGCCATCACTGGCCTCACAGAGAAGGGGTCCACCGGAGTCACCAAAAATGACCCCGGTCCCTCCAGTCGGTGTACCGCCAGCGCATATCTCGGTCGTCTCATTATAGATACCATCCCATACTTGCGCGCATTGTTTTGAATCAAATAGTGGTTCATTCACTTTCTGTAGTATTATTGCCTTATCGGTGTCTAATTGTGATATTAAATTGTAAACATTTTATGCAACTAATTATAATATCTGAGAAATTAAACATTTGTGTCTTTCCATACTATTTGTCTTTGTGTAACCGAAACCAATTGTAATGCAATTATCGGTAACTTTGGTAGTATTGGTGGCCAAACAGATGGGCTCTAGATGTTTGTGTTTACCAATAAAATCGATGGCATCGTTCAATTTAATTAGCGCTATATCATTGTTATATATGGGCGGACCCACCCAACCGGGGTTTAGAATTACCTAAGGTAATTAGAATTTAAATAATTACCATGTAACCATCTCAACTACATAATCACATACCTTGTTAACTTTAATATCAACTTCGGTGGGCTCACGAGCGGTGCGGTTGTGAACGCCTAGCCTTATGTAATAATTGGTCACATCTTTGATGTGTTCAACGCAATGAGAAGCCGTAAGTATCCATCGGTCGTCGATTATAGTCCCGCCGCAGAAATCTCTGGCGTCGGGGTTAGTCTCGTTGGCGGCCGACACGATGACCTGCCACGGGTGCTCTCCCACCAACGCATCGCTTCCACCTATTATTGTGGCCCCGATTTGCACACCCTTTGCGTGCGATTTACCGCAGTTTACTGGAAATTCATAGTTATAGACACCGTAGATATTAATGCTAATTATTAGCAATAATGGTATTTTATTAAACATTTTTTACCAACAATTATTGTGAGTATTTATTGTCATTTATATATCCATTATGTGTTTGATTAGGAATGTCGTAATCAATGACATTTTAATCCATTAGCTCTTGGATGACATTTTTACCCCCAAGTAATTGAATATAAAAATTATGTACAACTTTAAGCACGTATTAGATTAGATAGTAATTATAATGACAATATATTGATAATGTGGACTCCATATTATGGAGTAAAATTATATTTATAAGACAAAGTTTTAAATAATAATAGTATTAATGTTAATTTTCTATAATTATTTATGTGTAACATTTTGTGGAATTTAACAGGAACATTGAGAAACTAAATGTTCTTGTTTAATTCAATAATTGCCCGGAATATACAGCAATAAATACTTAAATAAATAACAATATGATAAGAATTATAGTAGAATAATATTAAAACATTTGTTTTTAGTAATTTCTCAGAACTTTAACTTAAGTACTTTTAGATGGTGATAAAAAATGGAGCATTTAAGTATAGTGTTAATTATCTACAGTGTTTAAACACAAATAAAACTTATGAAGTTCAATCTGTACCAATTATGTTGTTTATTAATTGTAAAATATAAATGTTTAATTAATTTAATTATAATCAAAAAAACATTATATTTATATATAAATGAAAGGTTGGTTTAATTAATTGTATGTCACAATCTTTTCAATCCAATGAATGAATGAAAGGACTTTGACAAAGACATCGGGCACTTCACCACATGTGCCGCCGTATGACGTAATGCCCAACTGATACCAGAGACCATCGGTGGCCAAACACTGCAGGGGTCCACCGGAATCACCCGTACAGACGCCGCCCTTTTGACCGCTTCCCCCACACAAATCCACATCACTGTTGTAGATGTCGTAGATATCGGCACAAACCTTATCATCCCTTAAGGGTTCGTTCACTTTCTGCAATTTCTGCGGCTGAAGTCCCTCTGCAATGAAATAACACTTATATTACAAGTAATTTCAATCTATATATTATATTACGTTCATTGAGACCAATACCAGTGGCCACACACTTGTCGGCCAGTTTGGTGCTCGGGTTCGGCAGACATATGGGTTCCACTGCTTTGTGTTTGCCATTAAAATCAAGTGTTTCGCTCAGTTTGATTAGAGCGATGTCATTTACTTTAATGGTCCGATTGTAATGCTCGTGGACAATCAACTGTTCATTTTATAGCATGAGTATGTTTTAAAAAATTAATTAAAATGTGAAAATTTATTCTTACCTTTTTTGCCTTAACGTTGAGTTCAGTGCTGTCACGAGTGGTTCGGTTGTAAACGTTTAACCGTATGTTATATTTGTTTGCTTCGGGCATATCTTTGACACAATGGGCAGCCGTTAGGACCCAATTCTCGTTAATTATTGTTGCCCCGCAGTTATCTGTATTGTATAACATACAGTATTATTGTATTCATATGACCATGATCAGCTAATAGCAGAGCGTGCATATCTGGGCATTCGCGGGCAGAGCTATAATGTATTTCCTATGAGAGCATAGAGGCAAAGTATACCTTATGGGTCGTCCTTGACAGACCCTGACCATGATCATTAAGCATTAACAACGCTTACCAGTTTTTTGACCATCAAAATCGTAATTGAGTATCACTTGCCAGGGAAATTCACCATGGGCTACATCACTGCCCCCGATTATATTGGCCCCAATTTGGATCGGTTTTGTGTGTGAGTGACCGCACTTTAGCCCCAATTTAAAGCCATTACTATAATACAAATTAAGACAAATTAAAACTAAAAGTTTAGTTGCGCTAAACATGTCTAATTATAGTTTGTGTTATCGTTTGTTATAATGCACTCATTTTCATATGCAGTCGGGCGCTGTGTTGAGGGTGTGTAGGCCTTATGCCAAACACAGTCCGCTGTAGGAATCTAATTAATACTCGGGGTTAACAACTAAAACAACTGTTTATTTATAATATAATAATGTTGGCTA